TTTACAGAGACAAAATGAAGATTCCGCCGCTGAGATGGAAAAACAAATGAAGGATGGCCAAAAGGAGTGGCCGCCTGTCTCAACAGCTGAAATCAAGATGTTAATTGGTCAACTAAGAAAAGGGAAGGACCTGGGAGCGGATTTTATTCCAGTAGAAGCATTGAAAAATTTCATGGAATGGTGGACTCCGATGCTAGCATCCCTCTTTACGTACATTGATAAGACGGGACGAATCCCGGAGGAGTGGGGCTTGGCTATTATAGTCCCAATCTTTAAAAAAGGCAGGAGGGATGACCCTACAAACTATACGCCGATTAGCTTGCTAAACACAATCAGCAAATTATATGCTAGACACTTGCAAGAAAAACTCAAGGACTGGATGGTCCAGAAGAATCTGATAGCAGATGAGCAGGCAGGATTCAGAGAGGGACGAGATACCGTCGAACAATGTCAGGTTCTTCAACATCTGATAGAAAAGTATTCCAGCAACACGATAACATGGGTATTTTGTCCCAGCGGCTCTCAACCCTTTCCAGGCAAAGGCGCTAGCCCAACTTCTCTATGGGTCTGTTGTCAGCTCTCCAGCTTCAAGTGTGACATACTTGGAAAGAGTCCAAGCTAAATTCATCAGGGTGGTCCTGCAAATGCCCAGATGTGTCGCCAATGCACAATTATGCTTGGAAACAGGTACGATAAAGGTCGAGTTGAAAGTGTGCCTAGCTGTTGAACTTTTGGCTAAAAATAAAGCACTACCCAAAGGGCCTAGCTCCATTTATCCTTCAAGATAAATTTCAATCCTTGTGGAAAAAGGTTATCGAGCTCAACATCTCTAAGTTAGGCTATTCTACGGGTGGGATTCTAGCGATGGAATATGAGCAGGCAAGAATGGCCATAAAGCAAAGGACAGAGGATATAGAACATCAAGCAGATTTAGGGAAGATTCCATCCTTTTTATCTCCGCCATGTAGCAAGTTTATTGTCACTGCTGCCAGATATCTAGCGCAGCTTGAGCTCCCCAGTCAGCGGAAAGCATTCTCTTTAGCTTGTTGCCATGTTCTTCCTTCAGCGGTGCTGGACAGCAAATACAAAAGAATTCCATTAGCTGCGAGACTTTGCCCTTGTGGCGCCAAGGAAGTAGAAGACATGGGCCATGTTCTCCTCTGCTGGATCTTTTACCAAGTCCCATGGAGTAAATGGCTTGCACCCCGATCAGCAAGCAGCCTGGCTGTCAAGAATCAGATTATCTTCAAATGCTTCTCATGGATGACCGGCCTTACGTTACAGTGCAGGTAGCCAGGTTCCGTGCAGTGGCAATAAAGATCTGTCAACATCGGATAGGAAGCTGCTGAAAGGTTTTGCAGTAATGGATT